CAACTTCTACATGATACATTTGAGTATTCTCATTACCTGTTTGCTGGATAGTGGGTGGATATTGTAGGGAGAAGTTACCTGTGAATCACTTCTGGGAGTGAAAGGGTTAACACATATGTACCTTCAGCAACTAGTAGACTATTTGACCGAGTGTTTTACTTGCATCTCTTTTCAATCAACAGAAAGGTATTATTCAAAACTGATCACTAGGTCGAGATAAATTTCCTAATGATGAATTCCCAACTCACAGTCCTCAACCTATATGATTAATGCAAATTCACAAAGTAAGGAACAGTCTCATTTTAGTTTGTTTTCAACTTCAGTGATGGAACAGTTATCTTTTCCTTTGCAGTGATTGTCATTGCTATGTTGTTTGGGAAATATGCAGCCTCGTTTATAAAAACTGGCCACACCACATCATCTCCAGTGAAAGGGATGGTCTCACCAGAAAATGACAGGAAGAGTGGGTCACCAGGATTCAGTGGTTTCCAATCACTTCTTTCCACATTCGCTGATACCATGGCTGAAAGTTCACCTTCTGCATCAGTAGGAAAATGGATGTTGCCTAGTGATCTGAACACTTCAATTTCCTTTTCCTCAAATTCAAGGCCATTATTAAACTTCTCAACACGGTCAAGCACACCCGTAACTATTTTCTTTGCCAAATTGTAAATGGCCGTGTTCAAAGTACCATGTGCTAGTGGGCCCATTTCTAAAGTTATGCCCTCCACACCTAACCCTTGTACACCTTGTGTGGGAAATTTAGAGGCATCTAGGAGGTCCTCTTTGCTGTTTTCATGCTGATCCCCTTCAAAATGCTGCCCCTCAAAATTTCCCTCCTTCAGAAGCATAATGCGTAGCTCAGGGAACTCTTTCTGCATTTCTGCTGCGAGGTGTAACAGAAATGGACCAGCAGATCCGCTCATTATAAAAAAGGGCCCAGTATTTGCAGTTGTGTTATGAAGATCGATCCAGAAATCTATCGCCTTTCTTCCAGCCTCGTTTTGAAATCGTGAATACAGTTCGCAGGCTCTCTGTATTTCATAGGGACAATTTTCCTCTTCTTTCTCCACAGACGACAACAGATTTTCTGATTTCATCTGTCTGTTGAGATCTACATTAATGAAACGCACACATCGCTTGGTTGCCCTTGGATTCGCAAGTATAGCATGAGTTTGAAAAGAATTCCTTTGAATTTCGATAGAACCATTTCTCAGCCAGTTTTTAACCAGGTAAACGCCATTGAGTTCATTTCCATGCGTCCCACCGCTAATACAAAGGGACCTTACTTGATCATGGATAGCAATTTCGTGAGTCGCCATCTTATATTGTGCAATCTAACCCGAAGTCAGAGATCAGACTGGAGTAAGATAGCGTGACTCTGTCACGCGACCACATGAGGACTGATGCGTAAGGAGAAGGAGTGACCGCTTTACTAAGAATCTGCTGTTAATAGCAGTTTACACGTATGTGCCTTATGGCGTCATGGTGATCTCTCACAATCCAAAACAATAGCGTCATCAAAATCGAGACCCCTCCACTTGACTCGGACAAACAAACCACTCAATGAGCTATTTCTACAAGTAGAAATTATGTCGTTCACCCGCACTTCGCTTCGATCTCTGACCGTTCTAATGCAAGATGATGGCGTTGCTAGCTCCAAATTTGAAAGTGAACCAGAGAACTACATTGTTGATCAGTTAAAGCGGTGGCTCAAATGTACAGGGTTTAAATTAAGCGGAAAACGTGATGAACTTGTCAAAGGCGTTCCCGAATGTATAACGGCTGGAAATCATCACACTCTCGATCCAAGCATCGATGAAGGAAAACGGTTTGCTGCAAAAGGGGAAACATCGTCAAGTAGACTATGAAGAACTTCAAACTGCGAAGATTTCAGGCCAACGAAATGTTTCATAAGGGTTGAATCTATCAGAATATTTTCGTAAGACACACTACTTACAATTTTGAGGGGGGGGGGGGGG